CACTTCATCTTTTTCTCTCTCCCACCTATTTCCTTCTCTTCTCCTTCACTTTTTCATTCTTATTTCCCCCCACTTCGAATTTTTCTGTTTTTTCGTTTTCTATCTTCCTTTTGATTTATCTTTTCTCTCTTTCAAAAAAAAATTCGAAATATCTTCTTTCCCACCTTCTTTTCTCATTTTCTGATTTATTTAATTTATTTTTTCTATTTATTCTGAAAATTCGATTTTCTCGACGGCAACCCTAAATCTGATTAGTTGTTAGTTTTCTCATCTTCTTCCCCACCCTCTTTTCTTATTTTTTCATTTATTTTATTTATTTTTATTTATTCTGAAAATTTTTGGCGGCAACCCTAAGTTTGATTAGGTGTTAGCCTTTCTTGCTTTCGGCACACGTTTTGACCCCGTGGGGGTAACGAAGTGCTGCCGAAATTTTCTGATTTTGTCATACTTAGTCTTTTCGGCACACTTCGACCCCATGGGGATAACGAAATGCTGCCAAAATTTTTCAAAAATCAGATAACCCATTTCTCCCCACCTCCTCACACACTTATTTACTTATTTCTTTATTTATTATTTCTTTATTTATTTTTTCAAATTTCTTTTTTTATTTATTTGCGGCATCTTTAGTGTGCTCACCTTGGTCTCTCCTTTTCCCTTGGCACATTCTCGACCCCGTGGGGGGTAGGGAAATGCTGCCGAAAATTTCAAAAAATATATATATATATATATTGTTTCCCTTCACATGTTTTACTTATTTTTTTTAATATTTTTATTATTTATTTATTTTCTTATTTATTTTTATTTTTTCTCAAAATCTCGCTGTTTATTTATTTTCCTCCCGCCTTCCCCCCATGCTTGCTATTTTACTTTCTTAACTAGGTCACCGGTACCCTACCCTAACCACTTAAACTGCGGTTAGGGTTTTCTTAGGGTTTTTGTAGGGTTTAGGGTTCTTCAAAACCCCCCTACTTCCCCGTCCTCTCCGGGCACCCTGGACCCGAACCACCCTTTCCCCTTCGACGGCGCCCGTGCTAGCCTTGCTAGCGCCGTTCGCCGCTTTCTACCGCGGACTTCCCCCTCCGCCCTCCGCTCACGCGGACCTCTTCTGGCCCCCTCCAGTCCGGTCCGTCATCTCCCCACGGCCGACGGTGCGTCACACGCCGCCGACACGGCGATGACCACGGCATCCGGCTCCACACCCGTGCCGGTGGACCAGGGCCATCAGCCCCAGGGGGATCTACACACCCTACTCACCTCCCTCCTTGCGCCCATCCAGACGCAACTAGCGACCCTTGCGCCCATCCAGGCGCAACTCGCGACCCTCGCGCCCTTACAGGCGCAGGTGGCGACCCATGCCGCCGGCATGCAGCAACTCCAGGACGCTGCGTGTCCGTCATCTCCTGGCTCCCAGTCCGGGTCCCCCATCCTCCAACAAGGTGGCCACGGCGGATATTCCTCCTCCGTTGCCCCTGACCCAGCCATCTTGGTGACTGTCCACGCCCCTAGCACGACGGCCGCCACGAGTCAGGCCCCCCCTCGGTCTACGGGCGCACCTGCCCAGATCCCGGTCACTACGGCCACGGTACAACAACCCGCTACCATGGTCTCAGCTTTTCCGGGTGCCCCGCACCTCCCCCCCCTTCGCACGACCGCAGCGCCACCTGGCTCTCCCCCCTCAGGGATGCCCCGCGCCGCTTGTGCGTCCACCCCCTCTACTCTTCCTCCTGCCACCCCTCGATCGACCTACGTTCGAGGTCTCGCGGACGAGATTGCCCAGCTCCGGGCCGACCTCACCCTCTTACGCCTTCAGCCACCCCCACCCTCACAGGTGGCCGCGCCTTCGGGCGCACCCCCTACCTCCTCTTCCTTTCCTCCCATGCAGGCTCGCTTTCCGCGCCCTGCACCCTGTACAACTCCTTCCTACCTTCTTCCTACTCCCGCGGTTGTTGCGGCCTCTTCTACCGCAGCACCCTCGCAGCCTGCCGCTGTTGCCACCGCCGCTCCTCCATGAGGCCCGGGCGAACAGTCAGCTGCGCCCCTTTTTCCAGGACCTGCGCCGACTTAGTCAGCCATGGCACAGGCCTCCGCTCCTCGATCCCCTCGCCGCCAAAACGGTGGCGCACCACTCATCCGCTTGTCGGACATTGCCTTGTATGACGGTACAGGCATACGCGTGTCTCGGTGGCTGCAATCTGCCACCCGCACACTCCAGCTCAAGGGCGCCACACCCGAGATGTGGGTGGGTCACCTCTCCACGCGCCTGTGTGGCGGTCCATTCGAGGCCTAGGAGGATTTCTATGCCTACTCCCTTCGTGAGGGTCGGACTCCGACCTTCGTGGATTTCCAGGCGTTCCTCGAGGATCGGTTCGGAGCCCGATATGACGTGACTGACGCCTTCGAGCGTGTCGTCACTACACGCTGGTCAGGCTCTGGTGGCGCTGCCAGCCTGGATCGCCACATCCAGGTCTTTCAGGACGCCCGCCTCGTTTGCGACGTGGTGTTCCTCCCCGAGGCTGCCCTTATTGATCGTTTCTTGGCCTGCCTTCCGCTCGAGTACCGCTCCGAGCTATGGCGGTACGAGTTCACATCGGCCCCACAGGCTTACGAGGCCGCCAGGGACCACCAGCGGATGCGAGCCCGTCTTCACCCCGCCTCCTCCTCCTAGCCTCAGCGCATGGGCTACGCCTCCTCCTCCTCTCACGACACTTCCCAGCGCCGTTCCCCTTTCCGCGGTCGCCCACGCCGTTCCACGCAGCAGGGCCGCCACTTCTCGTGCCGCTTCAGCGCGCTAGAGTATGGTGAGCAGTACGCTGTTGCCCCACTGTCACCTGAGGGCGACCACAACGACGACCTCGATCTTTTCGAGGCCGTCCACTATCACTTGGAGGACTTGATCCTCCCTGCAGCTGAGCGCCTTCAGCTCGCGCTCTCCGCCCTCTCTCGGGCACGCAGCCGCCCCGGTGACGCTGGCGCGTCGCCCCCCGAGGGCCCTCAGGAGGACCTCCCTGAGGGCTTCGTCCCTCCTCGTGGTGTCCTTTCCGCTGAGTAGCGCGCGGCTATTCTGGGCCGACGTGGGTGTTTGCGCTGCCGCTTGGACGGTCATACCTCCTCGCGGTGCCCTTACATTACCGCCCTCGACCGCCACTCGCTAATCTTTCTCGTCAGCGTCGTGCTCAGTCACCCCCCGGCGCCTCACGTCCCCGCGGCGCCTCCTAGCCACGGTGCAGTGTACACCTGCGCCCTCCTYAGTAGTGGGCTTCYCGACATCTCCRTCGCRGTTCGCCSCTCTCGCTACTGGAGTTGAGGTATCGCAGGACTCGACAGAGTGTACTCATCCCTCTATCGCAGTACCGTCTGCGCCTYCGYAGACCACCGTCTYCCCTCCTTCCCCGCYGYGATTAYCGACGCGTCGAGCCATTCGCTCARCSCGTTGCAGCGAGCAGCTTGCTACTCGCGAGGACGTTGTGTCCTCTCTTCTGGACTTGAGCATGCTCCARGCTCRTCAGGAGCGACTCACCCTCAATGTCGCTGCACTGYGTCGCCTTCTCGCCATCCKCTSTGACCCTGATCGCACCCTCCCGATCATCYCAGTACGACTCGGGACCTYCACRAGGGTGTACTCAGCGCTGTGGGATTCCAGTTCTCAGGGCGACTTCATTCACCCACGCGTGGYGAAGGAAGCCCGCTTACCCACGACAGGGTCTCCGACTCCCATCTCCGTTACCCTAGGGGATGACAAGACCCAGCGCTTCTTCGATCAGACGGTCACGGACCTCCCCTTCTTCCTCACTCTCGAGCCGACTGATCGTTCCGCGGCGTCTCGTCGCCACCGCTCCTCTGCACATTTCGATGTGATGGAGACGGGGTACGACTTCATTCTCGGCACTCCGTGGTCTCGTCGGTTTCGCAGCACCGACGCCGATTCGGCGACCAACACTCTCGTTCTCAAAACGAAGTGTGGACAGACGTATCGCGTACCTTTTATAGGTACCACTGCGATACCATACCCCGATCCTCCTCCCCCAGAGCCGTCAGTGCCCACACCATCCCCCTCGATCACCGTCACCTCGCCTTGGCAATTCGCTCACTTCATTCGACAGGGCGATGTCACCTTCTTTATGGTGGACGTGACGGATCTCTTACACTATGATCCACCTTGTCCCGACTCCGAGCTCATCCCTCTGGAGCCAGATCCTCCCTCTATCTCCATGGCTCCCATCTCTACTTCCGTCCCTCCGCCGTCCGTCGAGTCCACCCCGCCATCGGGTGCTGACGTTGACGGTGAGGAACTCGCACGATATACGGCTGACCTGGAGCCTGCAATCCGTGACCTCATCCGAGAGTACCACGACGTTTTCCCATCGTCGTTCTCGTACGCCGGCATCCCACCGATGCGTGACGTCGAGCACTTCATTCAGCTTGTGCCTGACTATCGTGTTCACCACCAGGCACCCTACAGACTCTCGATTCCCGAGGCCACCGAACTCAAGCGTCAGCTGAAGGAGCTCCTAAGACTGGGTTTCATTAAACCCAGCAACTCCCCGTGGGGTGCACCCGTCATCTTTGCTCGCAAAGCGGATGGAATTCTCCGTCTCTACATCGACTATCGCGGTCTCAACCGCTACATGGTTAAGAACAACTACCCCTTGCCTCGTTCCGATGAGCTGTTCGACCGCCTAGCAAGCAACCGGTTCTTTACGAGGATTGATCTTCGTAGCAGTTACCATCAAATCCGCGTCGCTGCAGCCGACCAGCCGAAGACAACGTTTCGATCGCCCTTCAGCCACTACGAGTTTACGGTGATGCCATTGAACGACATCTTCAGGGACATCCTGGAGCAGCACATTCTCGTCTACCTCGACGATATCCTGGTCTACATTCGTACCCTTGAGGACCACCTCAGACACCTCCGCGACGTCCTTGACCGCTTGCGCAGACATGGCTTCTACGCCAAGCTGAGCAAGTGCCGCTTTGCCTAGCACAAAGTGGATTTCTTGGGACACTACGTGTCTGACCAGGGTCTCCACATGGACGACGCGAAGATCACTGCTATTGCGGAGTGGCCCGCCCCCACATCCGCCAAGCAGCTTCGCAGCTTCCTAGGTTTGACCAGCTACTATAGTAACTTCATCCGGGGATACGCTAGGTATTCCTACGTCCTTACCTCCACCCTCCTCCGGAAGAACCCACCCTGGACTTGGACACCCCTCCACAAGGACGTTTTCCGCGCCCTCAAGAAGGCGGTGACATGCGCACCGGTTCTTCACCTACCCGATTTTGACCGCCCTTTTATCCTTACCACCGATGCATCAGACTTCGCTGTAGGAGCAGTGCTTTCTCATATCTTCCCCTCCTCTCCTGATTCCTCTCATCCTCGTATCCCTCGCTTCCCACCACCTACCCCTACCACTGCTTCCCGACTGACGCCTACTCGTCCAGCTACTGACGACCCTTCTATTGACTATTCTCCTACCATCGCCGAGGACGGCACTGTCGAGTCTCGCTCAGGTGATTGTCCGATAGCCTTCTACTCCCGTCAACTCCTGCCCGCCGAGATAAACTACACCGCTGATGAACGTGAGGTTCTCGCTATAGTTTATGCCGCTTGGCACTTGCGTCATTACCTGCACGGGGCATTGTTCACGGTGCGTACGGACAACTCTGTTGTCCAGGCTTTTCTGACAAAATCGAAGCTCACTCCTTGACAGGCTCGCTGGTGGCGCGATCTATCCGAGTTTAGTTTCACCACTGATCACATCAAGGGTGAGACTAATCGGGTCGCATATGCCTTATCTCGGTGCCCTGACCACGACCAAGAGCACATCCAGCTCTCTTCCATCTCGGTCACCGYTGTCCACCACTCGGTGATCGACGAGTTTCGCACTCAGTACCGCCACTGCCCCGACTACCGCGACATCCACGCGACCCTTCGGAGCGGCAAGATCGTCCCGAACTACTCTCTCGGGGACAACGGTCTTGTGTATTGGCACGGTTTACAGGGCACCAGAGAGCCCCGTCTTTGCGTTCCCACCACTGGACAGCTACGTGTCTGAGCAGTAGCAGAGTTCCATGACCAGGYASCTGCCGGTCATATGGGCTTCCACAAGACGTTGGCTCATGTGAGCCGCCTGTACGTCTGGCCGAAGCGCAAGGACTTTGTGAAGGACTACGTCGCAGAGTGTCCCACCTGTCAGGAGGTGAACAGTGCGAACCGCCTGCCTTACGGTTTGCTCCAGCCTCTTCCTATCCCTGAGGGCCGTTGGCAGTCCATCTCGATGGACTTTATCGGTCCTTTTCGTCCTCCGACCCCTCGCGGTCATGATGCTATCCTGGTCGTCGTCGACCGCTTCAGGAAGCGTGCACGCTTTGTTCCGTGCCGCTATGCCATCAG